GATGGCACACACCTGTAATCCCAGCTCTCTGGGAGGCAGAGGCAGGAAGATGCCTGTGAGAAGGATGTGTGTGCTGTCTGTGGCAGCACATTTGGCTTAATGAAAAACACATTTCAAATGGAGAAGTAACATCATGCAGGAAAGGTCAGAATTACCAGTACCATTTTGTTGTCAAAAACTAAGATGAGTTGCCCTTGCAAACTAGCAGCATTCATTAGTCTGTGAAGCTTTTTATAAACACTTACCAACTCCATACTGAGTGGAAGAAAGCAAATTTGCATTCTTCATATTCCTCAGGCAAAATATCATCTGTTCTCCCTGGGAGACGTGTTCTCCCAGGAAGCAGGTGAATGGCTCTTCTTGAGTTTTCTATAAAATTGGCATTTCTCCTCCTTCCCTGGGAGCTTACCCAGAGTTTCTACCTAGATCTCTTGTCCTGCAAAGAAAAGTTGGAGCATCATAAGTCTATATCTTGTCAAAACAAATAAAGAACAAGGTTATAACTGTAGACATAAAATTGTTCTAAAGCCATGCATAGTGGCACATGCCTGTAATTCCAGCACTTGAGAGGCTGAGGAAGGAAGATTGTTGCAAGTTGGAGGCCAGCCTGGGTTACAAAATGAGCTCAAGGCCAGCCTGAACTGCATAGTGAGACCCTGTCTCAAAAAGAACCCCCCCCCCCCCAAAAAAAGGTTCTAAAATTTCTGTGGAAGGGCAAAGGAGTTGAAATAACCAAAACCATTTTGAAAAATATTAATAAAGTTGTAGGACTTAAAGTTACATTACCATGCTGGGCATAGTGGTGCATGCCTGTAATCTCAGCACTCAGGAGGCTGAGGCAGGAGAATCACTGTAAGTTTGAGACCAGCCTGGACTACATGGTAAGTTCAAGGCCAGCCTGAACTGCACAGCAAGACCCTGTCTCAAAAGACCAAAAAAAAAAAAAAACAAAAAAAACAAAAAAACCTCATTACCCTATTTACTGCTTATTATAAAGCTGCTGTCATTAGAGAGCCAGTCTTTATTTTTTTAATATTTTATTTATTTAGTTAGTTAGTTAGTTAATTAGGTAGTTAGTGTGTGAGGCACTGAGGATCAAATCCCAATCCTCACATATCCTAGGCAAGCACTCTAACCTGGAGCTCCATCCCTGAGCCAAAACTTAAAAGGTTTGCTCTGCTAATGTCACTGTTAAGGCAACAGGAAGGTTATAGATTGGCAAAGGATATAACTGCATATTCCACAAAAAATTGTATCCATAATGTATAAAGTACTCAAAATTAACAGTAGAGAAATCAAACAACTCAATTAAAAGTGGTTCAAAGACTTGAACAAACATTTCACCGAAGAGGGTACCCAGATGGCCAACGAGTGCTTATTTCTGTATTATTATATATCACCCATTAGGAAATGCAAATGAGAAGGACAGCATCGCATACCCACTGTCAGGTCTAAAATAACAACCCTGACAACACCAAGCGCTGGGGAAGATGTGAGTCACCCAGAACCCACACCCACTGTTGGTGTGCAGACAGAATGGTGAACTCAGACTGTAGACGTAACTTCATGGGACAGCACTTACCTAGCATTCTGGATTTGGTCCTTCACTGTTGAAAAAAAAGATTTTAAATGGTAAAGTCATTTTGGGAAACAGCTTGACAATTTTTAACAGAGTTAAACATGCCCATACACTATGACCCCACAATCTCAGTCCCGTGTTTCCTTGGAAAAGGGTTTCTCAGTCTTAATCATATTCAATATTTTAGGCCACATTCTTCATTGCTGTGGGACTGACCTGGAATTTAGTATGTTCAGCAGCATCCCTGACTTCTACCCATTAGATGCCAGAGGCACAATAAAAAATATCTTCGGTCATTGCCGGCTGCCCCTTGGAGGACAAAATTGCCTCCACTTGGGAACCTTTGCACAAATATCTATGGCAGCTCTGGTCATAATCACCAAAACTTGGAAACAACCCGAAGGTCCTTCGATGAATGAATGAATAAACAAGCTATGGTACAACACAGTGGAACACTGCTTAGTAACACAGAGAAATGATCAATGGTACACACAACTGAGATGAATCTCAAAGGCGTGATTATGAATGAAAAAAGCCTGTCCAAAGGTTATATACCATATAATTCCATGTCTATGAATTCTCAAAGGGTCAAAACTACAGTGACAGAACATCTCCAAGGTTGCCAAGCAGTGGCTAAGGGTGGAGAAAGGTTGGGGTTTCCCAAAGTGGTATTTTTCAGGGCAATGGAAGTGTTCTGTATCCTGATTGTAGTGGTGGTGGATTTGTGAATCTAAATGCCACCGCCCCCCAAGGAAGGGTCAGTTTTACTATTATATTAATCAGCTGTCCATTTCTATACCTGAGTTAATCAACTTAAAAAGAGGAAAAGTGTATTTTGGATCATAGTTTTGGAGAGTTTAGTCCAAGGTGAGTTGGCTGTCCTGCCTTTGGGCCTGTGGCTAGGCCATACATTTTGGCAGGAGCATCTGGCAATGGAAGCAGCCAGAAGACAAGGAAAAGGGCCTGGAATGGTGGTGCATGCCTGTAATCCCAGCACTTGGGAGGCTGAGGCAGGAGGATTGCCATGAGTTGGAGGTCAGTCTGAGTTACATAGTGAGCTCAAGGCCAGCCTGTACTACAAGAGAGACACTGTCTCAAAAAAAAAAAAAAAAAAAGAAAGCCAAGAGAAATGAAAAGGAGAGGCTGGGGTCTCAGTGTGCCCTTTAAGGGCACAATCCCCAATGACCTGACTTCCTCCCACTAAGCTCCACCTCCTGCCAGTACCACCATGGGCAGAAACCGAGCCTTCAACCATGAGCTCTTGGGCGATGCTCAATATCCCAACTACAGGAACTATATATTAACTTTAAAAACTAAACGAGAACACAGAAGTGGGGGCTGAATTTAAAAAGGAGTCTGTTTCCTGTCAGTCTCTCTTTTCTTTCTGGCCAGGGGCTTAGTATTCAAACCTGCTTAGTGAAGAAGAGGGAGGAAACCTCTTGTCACGTGTGAAACTTTCTCCTGCTATAGTTTATTCCTGTTGAATAGTTTCCAGAGAAAACAAATACTTGGAAATTCAAGCAGCAAGAAGGGTAAGGAAAAGAGCCCCCACACGGATCTTGCCTTCTCTGACCGGGTCTCTGGAGAATCTCAGGGAGCCCACGCTCCATGAGACCTGGCTCAGGGGCAGGAAGGAAAGGCTGGCAGTGGGAAGAAGACTGTTAGAAAGAACACCCGGCAGGCTGACTGGAGCTGATGTAAAGCACTTTCTTTTTCATTTGTTTAAGAGTCCCAGGCTGCTGACAGCCCACAGCAGGGCAGGAAATCTGGCCTGTTTGGACTTGCAGGCTTCTGTTTCCTTAACACATCCGTCATCCAGCCCTCACAGCTACCCTCACCACGGGTAACTCTGACTGCTTCTGCTTTACACGTGAAGCAACCGTCTCAGCCTGGACCGCTACAACAAAACACCTCAGGCTGGGCAATTTATAAGCAATGTGAAGGTACTGTTTCCAGTTCTGCAGGCTGAGAAGTCCAAGACCAAGATCATGGCCAATTCCATGTCTGGGGAGGGCTGGCTCTCTGCTTGCAAGATGGCGCCTCCTTGTTGACTCTCCATAGGGATGAAGGAGCAAACAAACTCCATCTGGCCATTTTATAAAGGTGCTATTTACCTCCCTGAGGCCCCACCTCTCAATACTGTAACAATGGGAACGAAGTTTCAGCATAAGAATTTGGGGGGCACACATGCACACCACAGCATGGCCCAATAAGCAACCTCCCCAAAAGTCACCCAGGGAGCCTGAAGCTGACCTGAAATTTGATGCCGCCTTCTGACAGTGTCTGAGCCAGCCAGTCCACACTGTGGCCTGGATTATGTTCTCGGTGGGAATAAGAACACAGAGACACCAGCCCCTAGGAATCTCCTGCCATAGGTGGGGTAGAAAAGACAGGGATCCCCAAAACCTGGACTCTAGTCCTGGCTCAACCACACATCATGTGACCTCCAAGAAGTTGCCTTGCTTCTCCAAGCCTCCTTTGTGTGTGTGTGTGTTGGGGTGGGATATTGACAAGGTCTCACTATGTAGTCCAAACTGGCCTGGAACTCATAGGAATCCTCCTGCCTCAGCCTCACAAGTCCTGGGATTACAGATACACACCACTGCACCTGGCTAAAACCTCCATTTCTTATCTAAAAATTCCCAGACTGTCCTGAGGATTTCATGTGGCATCACAAAAGGAAATGTTTGTAAAATATAATAGATAATGTGAATGTAAAATGACACGGTCTCTCTCCTCCACCACCTCATTCTCTCCTGGAACTTGCTCACCTCCAACTACTGATGTAAAGCTGGGCATGATGGCACATACTTGTAGTTCCAGGTCCTCAGGAGGCTGAGACAAGAGGATCTCTTGAGATCGGGAGTTCAAGACCAGTACAGTCCTTTCTGGACAGTACAGAAAGACATGGTCTTAAAAGCAAAACAAAACCATGAAAAACAAAACACTTGGATCCTATCATTTCCATTACAGAGCTGGAGCTCACATACCTTATATTAATTTAGTTTTTTAATAGGTAACATGCTCACAACAGTTCAAAAAGATTTTTCTTGTTGTTTGTTTTTCATGATAAAGTTTCTGTATGTAGACTAGGTTGGCCTTAAATTTGCAATCCTCCTGCCTCAACCATCCAAGTGCTGGGATTACTGGCACGTGCCACCACTCCTGGTCAAAACTTTATTTTCAAAAATGCATGTAAAAGAATATAATTGTCCCTATAAGACCATAGCAACCATTTCCTTCATTATCCATCCAGAGACATTCCTTACAGTACACAAGCAGACAAGCGTGTGTGCGATCTTGTACCCCGCAGTAGCATGCCATCTCACTCCTGCATTGAGACTGGAAGCCAGCCAGCCCCACAGCTTGTTTAGCTCCTTGGCTTTGTTTTTCTTCCACTTTTGTCTTCCTCCCCCACTTCCTCCCACCTCCTGCATGCTAGGCAAGTGCTCTACTGAGCTACATACTCAGCTTTTTTTCTTTTGAGACAGGGGCTCATTAAGTTCCCCAGGGTGGTCTTGAACTTGCAATCCTCTATCCTCAGCCTCCCAAGGAGTTGGGATTACAGGCGTGCCCCAGCACAGCCGCCTGTTTTTCTTCTTTACAATTTATCTACCACCCCGTTCCATAGTCATCCTTTGCTCTGCCCACTGTATTCTATCGGGACCTAGCCCCAGGGTGGACCCAGTCCTCTAAGAAGGTTACTTCCCATTTTTTGTCATTGTTGTAAACACCACAGGGACCATTTCACAAATGGGTGTGTGTAGCTGGAAGTAGAATTGCTGGGTCAAAGAATCTGTGCCTCTTACAGACACTGCTGAGTTGCCCTCCAAGGAGACGGGCTCAGCTTACAGGCCTAGCAAGGCCTGAGACTGCCTTCTTCCACGTTGGCCAGCGGGGTGTGGCCTCCAACCTTTTGTTTTCCCCTAGCTCCTCAGTGGAAAAGGGGGTCTGGCGAGCTACTTGTGTGCTTTTCGTGAGTGAGGCTGAGCCTGTTTTCAGTGCCCATCCCTATGGCCAGCCCAGCTCCTCTCCATACACAACCTAAGGCCTTGGCCCTGCACCTTATTCCCTCTGCAAGATGCAGCATTCCATGTATGCGTCCATCTGCCAGCTTCTCGCTGAGTCACTCCCAAGCAGTAAAGGGCAGCAGGCTCAGGTTATTTCTGCTCCTGGAGCCATCTGAGCTACCAGTCCTGGGAAGACTTTGGATTCTGGCATTTCCTGTGGTCACCTAGTACCTGGGTGTTGCACTTGTCAAACCTGGGCTTTCTGGGAGAGACCGGGGGCCTGCACTTAGGGATCAGGTCAGTTGTGTTTATAAACTAGGCATAGAATGGACCTTGGTAGACAGGGAGAAAGGATATTTGGAAAGAACTAATGGACAAAGTCCTAAGGTATAAGTGGTAGGATAAGACGAACAGGATGTGAATGGTGGTACACGCCTGTAATCCTAGCACTGGCGAGGCTGAAGCAGGAGGATCCCCACAAGTTTGAGGCCAGCCAGGACTATATAGTGAGTCCAAGGAGTTCAAGGCCATCCTGAATTACACAGTGAGACCTTGTCTCAAAGAACAAACAAAAAAAGAGGAACAGGCTGAGTAAAGAGAAGGGATCAGATTAGGTAGGCAGAACTTTAGCCCGGTGTGGGGAGGAGGAGGCTATGAAGATATGGGAAGTTAGCAACCATTTTCACCGAAACACCTGTGATGCATCCACTCTAGCTCCACAACTCACTAGCACTGCAGGGTTAGGGCTAAGAGCTGCCTGAAGTTGCACAGAGCTACCTCTCTTCAGGCCACTGTGTGAGAGGTCTGGAGAGACCTGGTTACCCATTGACCCTCTCTGAGGGGCATCTGAGGGGCAGCCCAGGTCAGGTTGTAATTTAACCTCGGTGCTGCTCTGTGCATCTAATTGTCCTGCTCACGCAAGGACAGGAGGAGCCAGTGGCTGGATGCTTGGGCCCCTGGGGAGTCTGCAGCCTGTGATTTCCTGACTCAGACAAACAGCAAATTTGTTCTGGAAACTGCTGAGGCAAAGTCTTCTCGGAGCCCCTGGAAGGATGGGCCGTGGCATTCTGTCATCTCCAGGGCATCTGACCCCCTCACAGGAGCTGGGCCTTTGCATCTGAGAGCTTTAGCGGAGACTGCAGCCTCTTCTGGCCTTCATTACCACCTTCAGTCTAGCCTCTTCTTGTCCTGCTGGGGCCGGCAATCCAGAGCCATGCTTGAGAAATAAGTGCTGGAAAGAGATTCCTTAGTATTTGGGGCCCCACTCTGGTTTATCCCAAGGGTCTCCATGGGGGGAGCACGGGGGCAGGAAGTAGGCAGGGTAGGGCTCCTGCAGTGTGTTTCTCTGTCTTCCCAAAGCCTCAGTATGAAGCAGGGTTTTCAAGAACTGCAGCCACAATATTTTCTTCCCCTGCTCCTCAGCCTCCCTGGAGGAAAAGTACAAAAAGTTGAGGTTGTCCCCGAGGCCATCAAGAAATGCTTAATTGCTTTCTGAGAGAATTGTTACCTGCTTCTGGCTTTCTCCCCCTCTCCATTGCCCTTCTGCACCTCTCCACCAACCCCTGGAGGCTCTGGCTTAGGGAGTTTGGGCTGAAGACATGAGCTCCTTGGATGTGTCCCAGAGTAACCAGGAACCATGTGCTGAATAGCAGCTTGCTTCTCCAAATATACTGCTGCACTACCTTTGCTGAAAAAAGAACCCTATGTGTGGGAGAATAAATGTGCATTTTGCTGGGACCAGGCGCGCATCGACAGCAGATGGATGGTGGCCCAGGCTGGCGGAGTCGGCCAGACTTCAGAGCAAGCAGACAGTGTGAACCAAGGCAGGCATGGGAGGCAGCCAGGGAAAGAGAAATACAGGGAGAGTTGGAGGTTGTCATCCCAGGAGCTTTGTCAGCATCTTGTGCATCTTGATTTAAACAGAAGGCAAAGCAGAGGGATGTCTTATGAAGGGCAGGCTAAGAGGCAATGACAACGCCCAAATATACAATGTTGGAACTTTTTTTTTTTGGTACTGGGAATCAACCTCAGGACCTTGCGCTTGCTGGGAAGGTGCTGTACCACTGAGCTATATTCCGGCCCCAAACATATAACAGAATTTATTACTCGCACAACAGAGAAAAGCATTTGTTCCTGATTGGCCACTGACTTTCTCTACATGGTGATTCAGGGACCCAGCTTTGCTCATCTTGAGGCTCCCTCTTTCCTTCAGATCTCAGATCACCTATGTGTAAGTAGCAGAAGAGAAAGGAAAGTATGGATGAGGTATACTCGCTTCTTTTGGCCTTGGCTCAGGAGAGTGCTCTCTCAGGCTCACATTCTATTGGTGGAAACTTGTCACATGGCTGCCCTAGTTGCAAGGGCAGCTGGGAAATGTAGTCTTTGGTCCTCCCTGACAACTATACTAAAAGGATGAGGAATTTTGGTAAACAGCTAACTATCTCTGCCACAGGATGAAATCAAAACATTTAAGTCAGGGAACCAAAAGAGTACAATTCATTTTGAGTCTTATGAGATTATTGGAAAGTAATCTGGGTCTTCAATTAGGAAGTCCTGCCTAAATAACTTGCTAGAAAAGATTTTGCTTTTGTCAAGGATTAGAAGATCCAACAGTATCAGAACTGGGCAGAAATATAGGGCAAGGCTGGGTGCGTGGTGGCCCGTACTTGTAATCCCAATACTCAGGAAGCAAAGGGAGGAGAATCACCATGAGTTCAAGATCAGCCTTGGCTACATAGTGAGTTCAAAGTGAGCCTGAACTACCTAGCAAGACCCTGTCTCAACAACAAAACAAAACAAGTATATATATGAACATTAGCAGAGAAGCAAGCATATAAGAAACCTGTATAGATAGGCCTAAGAAGCTGGGCTGTTCCCCTGTGACTGGTCTATCTAGTTTGTGCCGGACCTGGGCCACCAGCCTAATCATAGCACCTTAGACCTGTGGCAGTGACTGACTGGGTAAGATTTGGCTGCCTCTGTGGGAAGCAGGGGCACAGCCAGAGTGCAAGTTGAGGGTGAAATCCAAACACTGTACTTCCTCCTCCCCTGAGGTAAGGAACACATGCTGTGGAAACTTCACTGTGCATGGATATATTTTAGGAATTATTGTGCATAACAAGTTACTACAATTTTTTTTTGTAGTCTTTTTGAGGCAGGGTCTCGTTATGTAGTTCAGGCTGGACTTGAGCTCACTTTGTAGCCTAGGCTGGTCTCGAATTTGCGATGATCCTCCTGCTTCAGCCTCCCGAGTGCTGGGATTACAGGCATACACCACCATACCCGGCATAAATTTAGCAGTTTAAAATAACACCCACTGAAGAGCTCCCAATTCTGTGGGCTAGAAGTTTGGGGTAGTCTCCACTGGATCTTTTGCTTGGGATGTCCTAAGGCCTACCCAAAGTGTTGGCCTGTCTGAGCTCCCACCTGAGAACCCAGAGAAGAATCCATTTCCAAGTTTACTTGGTTGTTCTCAGATCCCAGTTCCTGTGTGGTAGGAATGGGGTCCTTGCTAGTAGTTGGCTGAGGGTCTCTTGGAGCTCCTAGAGGCACCTCTCAAATCCTTTCCTCATAGTCACCTCACAACCCCCTCATCTTTAGGTGTATCAAGTTCTTCTTATGCTTAGAATTTCTGACTTTCCTTCTACTGCTCAAGATGTGGTCTGCTTTTAATGACCTCATGTGATTAGGTCAGGCCCACCCAAATATTTACCTTACTTGAAAGTCAGCTAATTAGTGACCTTAAGCAGATTGTAAATATATATAGCAACAGAGTTGTAGGAGTAATATCCAGGGACAGATTATGGAGACAGTCTAAGAATTCTGCTTTTTGGAGCACTTGGGCCTTTCAGTCTGGAGGCCAGGGTGGCATCCTTTGCAGCTAAAGTGACTTTCGTGCTCTGACCAAGAGCTGCCCACTTGGTTCCACCCAATCGCAGGGGGGCGATTGACAGGCTTGGCCCAGCTGCTGCCGTACAGGAGAAGGATCTAGGGACAGAGAGGAGATGTCTCTGCCCCCTTAAGCTCCTTTCCCTCATGGAAACTGGGCCTCCCTAGAAAGAGGCTCAAGACTGAGCAGAGCATACTGACCCCAAGAGAAACATGCCGGGCCTTGCGATCAGGGAGCCGGCCCCCTAAAAGCTCGGATGGATGTGCCTCCTAACACCTGCTCGCTCTTAGGGAAGGGCAGGCCTGGGCAGTGTGACTTCAGGATGTGGCAGCTCCCCAGACATTCCCTGGCCCTCCTCCTGCCACCCAGATGGTGCCTAGCCCCTGATTTGTCCCACAGATGGCCTGACACTGGGGAGTGCAGGGGAGAGGCGAGCAGGAAGACTTTGTTCATGGGCCTGCAGCCATCCTCTCAAGGCTCGACTCTTACATGTCTGCTGGCTCCCAGATTCCTCAAGGGTCTGCCTTTACCGCGTTTCCAGGGCTTCCTAGTGCACGCTCCCAGCTCCTCCCCAGGCCTGGCGCCTCCTGCCCCCTACCTGGGGCTATCTCCTCTGCAGTTACACAAGAATGTAGCCACACGATAAAAATGCTTCCTGAGCCCCAAGGCCTCTGCCCTGGAGCACAGCAATGCAAAATGACCCTTTGTGCAGCGCCTGCTCCGCTCTGCCCCAGCTGAGCTGGCGTCCCACCTCACTGCCGGCTCTGTTGGCGAGCTTCAGGCCCTGGGAGCTTGAAGAGGGGCCTCTCTTGGCATGCAGACACCCTAACACAGCACTCCCATTGGAAGCCATCTGTCTGATCTTGTGCCCTTCCTTTCCCAGCGAGGCCGTGGAAGGCAGCAAGAGGTGTGGCCGGATTCTTGGGAGGCAGCGGGGCTGGGGACCAAAGGGCCCGGGCAGCTCAAACTTTTGTGGGACTCAGACACTTGACTGCAGAGCCAACTGGACAGGATTTAGCACAGCCAAGGCAGTAGGATCTATGCCTGGGCGTGTCTGCCCCTCCCTGCATTTCCAAACCAAAAAAAAGTATCCCGTATGCCAGATGGCTTATTGTCATCTGCATCTGGTACATATGTCCTGAGGGCATGGATCGGAAAGTCTGTCAGGCTGGTGTGAGGTGCTGGGAATCTGACCGTCAACCCACAGGCTTGGCTGGAGCACGGTTGGGTGGAAGTTTTGGGGCGGGATGAGGGTGAGGGGCTGGGAGGGAGGGATTCATCCTAGGGGCCTGGAGGCCCCTTTGCAGTGGCAGGGGCAGAAGTGCTTCAGGAAAAATACTAAGTCTCAGATAGGAGGAACCTGGAAGCTGGAATTCTGCAGAGGTGACAGAGGCCTATGGGCAGGGACCCCCCCCCCCATAAGCACCAATAACCCACTATAATAGAAACTGAGCCCTGCCGGCTGTGGTGGCTCACGCCTGTAATCCCAGCATTCAGGAGGCTGAGGCAGGAGGATCATTGTGAGTTCGAGGATCATTGTAGCCTGGGCTACAAAGTGAGCTCAAGTCTAGCCTTAACTGTATAGCGAGACCCTGTCTCAAAAAAACAAAACAAAACAAAAAAAAGAAACTGAGTCCTTTGCCTGATCCCACTTGGACCAAAGCAGCTGCCCAAAAAGAGGTGTGACTCAAAAGCCTGCTGGTTTTTCATTTTCTCATCCCGATCCTTCTAAGCCCTTTGGCTTCTAGATAGGCATCCGCCCCCTTGTCCATGTGTCCCCCACTGTGACTCCTTCTTGACATCCTCAAGCCCCTCCTCCTCCTGCCCAGCCACATGACATTTTCTTCCCTTAGCTTTCCAGGGCCCAAGTCCACGCTGCACTCTTCTCTGGAGACAAGCAGGAAGAGAGGAGGCTGGTGATGGAAGGGCACAGGGCCGAGACGCCCCAAGCTGTGTGCAGGACCCCTGTCCGCCCCACCTGCTGCAGCTGCATGGTGGCCATCGACAGGACTCTGACTGGGCAGGGAGCCCCTGTCACCTCCTCTCCTCGGGCTCCTTCCTCTGCTGCACAGCACCAGGTATAACGGGCAGGTTGGAGACAGCTTTATCAGGTTGTCACCACCCGGCTGCTGCATGGCCCGAGGAGGTGTTCAGACAGCAGGAAGCAGAACCAAGCCCTTGGAAAACTCAACAGCCACACCTGTTGCTCACCAGGTATCTCCTTTCTAGGTGTGGCCCTTCGTCCCTGACTCATACTCAGAGGAACTGGTGGGTAGGGGTGTGACGCAATGGGAGCCCTACAGCCCACTCACACCACATTCAGAAGTGGTTTCTTCTGCTTTTCTTTTCCACAGAACCAAGGCGCCACCTATCCCCACCTGACCAGCGCCACCCAGGGGAGTTGGCCTTCATCCTGGCCTCTCTGGGGCTCCAAAGAATCTAGATCACAATAGACAGGCTTAGATTACCTGGGCCAGTGTCTTGCTTCACAGATGTAGAAACTAGGGCTTGGGGACAGACGGTGATCTAGGGCCACCAGGCTAATACAGCACACAGCAGGACTGGCAGCCAGGTCACCTAGCACCCTCCCCCTTTTCACCTGGCACTTGGCCACCACTAGCTTCCTGTGGTACAGGTCTCCCTACACCGTAAATCCATATTGCACAGGGCTGGGGGTTTAGCTCAGTGGTGCAAGCATTTGGCCTGGCAAGTGTGAGGTCATGAGTTCAATTCCCAGTACCACAAAAAAAAAATATTAACCATATTGCACAAATGCAACAGACTCTTGGGAGTCAAGCCAGAGACAGAGATGAGACCATGGGGCCATTTTGGATTTCTGTCTGCTATAGTGCCTCAAGTCCTCCTCCACAGATTGGGCTTCCCTGATGGGTGAGACCCAATCCCAATCTCCAATATGTGAAAACAGTGTGGTACAGGCTCCCACTAAGGGCCTGAGATTCTTGCAGAAAGCCAGAGAACAGGTGGTTGGGAGCATGGTGGTTTGTTTTTTTGTTTTGTTTGTCAAACTTTTGGCGATCTTCCTGTCTCAGCCTCCCGAGTGCTGGGATTACCGGCATATGTTACCACACCTGGTAAGCATGGTAGTCAACCACAAGTGTTTTATCAGCCTGGGTCTACCTCTCTGCATTCCTACTGGTTCCCTCAACAGCATCATAAAAATCTATATTTGTTCATGTAATAAATACCTGCTGGGGCCATGCTGAAAGTAGTGGGGTGGGAGTGGAGGCAAGGGGGCAAATATGAACCGGGCTTGCATCTCACCTCTGGAAACCTCAGGATCTGGGTGAGAAGTAAAGAGATGTTCCCAGAACCAGTGGCTTCCTGGACGGGTTCTGAAGCTTACTAGTTCTGTGACCTTAGCTAAGTCAGCTAACCTTTCTGCTTCCTAGTTTGCTTGTCTGAAAACCTGGGATGAATTTCAGAGGCTGTAGGTGAGACTGACTATACAAATGGGCTTGGCTAGACCTGATAGATAAAGAACCCTGACCAGGTGCAGTGATGCACACCTGTATCCCCAGATACTAAGGAGACTGAGGCAGGAGGATCTCAAGTTTGAGGCCAGCCTGGGGAACTTCGCAAGACCCTGTTTCAAAATAAAAGAGCTGGGGATGTAGCTCAGTTTGATCCTCAGTACTCCTGCCCCTAAAATAGAACTCTGGTCTTCAATCAACAACACCTAATACTGGAAACCAGCACTACCTACTGTTACCAGCTCAGGCAGCCAGCCTGTTATTACAGAAAATGGAAACTGGCCCACTTAGCCGACCTGCCATCTAAGTCAGACTTACAGAAAGTCAGACCATGAGCTCTAACAGCTGTCCGAGACGCCAAACAGTTACCCAGTGGCACATTTTGCAGCATGGCCAGGCCTTGATTTACGACAGACAGTTTGCCTCATTCTCCCCCCTGTTTTCAATTTATCACCATTTCCAAACAAAAGCCAAATATGTTCCTCTGGTGTGTGAAATAGGGTGCCCCTCCTCCAGGGAGCTGTCTCCAGCTCCCCAGCCAACAGCCTCCTGCCAGGCACACCTGAAATGATCTCCTTTCCACTTTGACGCTCTCCTGCTGCTTGTCCTGCCTTGACGTCACTCCTGAATTCCAGTGACAGCGGCTGACCCTCTTGCTGCAGCAAGTTGTAAATGGACAGCCTTTGCACGTTCCTGTTGAGTTCTTGCTCTTATTTACACATTTACACATGAGGCAGGGATCTCCCGGCCTCATTATTTACACATGGGATCAGAGGAGGGGGGAGGTGTGGCAAAGCTGGTTAAGAGTCCAGAAGCCCCGGCTGGGGGTGGAGCTCAGTGGCAGAGCGCTTGTCCGTGTGTGCAAGGCCTAGTGCTAGGTTCGATCCCCAACACTGGGGAAATAAAAAATCTGGAACCTCTAGAGATTAAGGAGAAATGATCCCAGGTCAGTTCCAGAGGAGGGGCTCAGAGATGGGGAGCGGTTTGGGCCTCTGACATCCCCGCCTGGATTGGCTCCAGGCCATTGGGCTGAGCTCCGATGTGGTTGGCGGTGTGGAGCAGCCTCTTCACATGCAGCCACGCAAATCCTATAAGAACAGACGTGGCGCCTCCGTGGCACTGGAAGCAGAACAAGCAAGGAGAGAATGAAAGGGTGAGGCCGGATCCCGGGGCACCACCACAGGGTGGTGCCTCTCTTTGCCCAACCCAAATGTCACTGCCCTGCAGGCCACCCCTGGGTACGTGTCCAGAGCCTGGAGGGACACCTGGGAAATCCCTGGACCCGGGCCCAACCCTCCAGGTGCAGGTGAGCAGCAGAGGAGGAGAACAGAAGCCCCTCACCTACTGGAACTCACGCTGAGATGCGAGTAGGGCTTTACATCCTAGCACGGGGCGCGCAGCACCCTCTCCTCCTGCCAGATCTCTTTCACAGCCTTCCTTCTCCCGGAAGTGCCCCGGGGCCACAGAGGGTGTGTGTGTTCTGTCCTTGGGCCTCCTCCAAACTCAGGGTACCCTGAGAGGCATATGCTGCCCTCCATCCTGGCCACCCCCTCTCATGCGGGCCCCTCAGCCTCCTAAGTGGTCTCCAGTGTCCTGGTTCATAAGCCCCGCCTCCAGAATGCCACTGGCAGGGTCTTTCTAGAGCGCAACCCTGAAACCTCGAGAAGGCCAGCTTGCTGAACCTGGGCCGTCAGTGCCAGCGCCAGCCCACCTTTCCACTGTCCCCACCCACTAGGCTCTGGGCTCTGCCCACGCCAAACAACTTGTCATTTATTGTTATCATTATTGTACTGGGCATTGAACCCAGGGCCTTTGCACTGAGTTATATATCTCCACCCCTTTTTATTTTTTATTTAGAGACAGAGACTCAATAAATTACCCTAGCTGGGCTTGAACTGGGTGATCTCCCTGCCTCTACTTCCTAGAGTGCGTTGGGGTTATGGTCACATGCCACCATGCGTGGCATTTCTAACTCCAAGCATTGAAATAAAGGTGTCTGTGCTCATGTGTGCGTGGACGTGTAGAGCGCTGGTTTGACCTCTGATCCCCTCTGGATCCCAGCTCTGCTGGTTCTTACATCACCCTATGCCTAGCACACAACTGTTAGTTGCGCAGAACCCAGAGATAAACAGACCTGGATTTGAATCCCACCACCCCCACTAATTAGTTGTGTTCTTTGGGAAAACTGTTTAACCTCCGACCCTCAGTGTATCCATCTATAAGAGGGAGACAGCAATAATTCCTGCCTCCAGGGCTTGCTATGAGAATTCTGTGAGATGGTACTGGTGAAAGCTGGAGGCCAGTGCCATGCTCAGAGGTGCTGGTTCAACGTCCCATGAGACAACTCTTGTCCAGGGAGCTCGGCGCCTCATCAGGAAAGGATTTCAGTAATGGAAGTGACCATAGCTCCAAACTAGGCCAACCTCTACATTTAGAGACCCTCAGATTAGAAATGACTGTCTTGTTGTAGTCCCAGACTACAGAAGGCCGAGGCAGGAAGACTGCTTGAGCTCAGTTCAAGGCCAGCTTAGGCAATGTAGCGGGGGGAGAGAGAGAGAGAGAGAGAGAGGCAGGGAGGGAGAAGGGGAGGGGTTTCATATGGCATTATTGCTATATAAAGAAATTATATAAACACATAAGACTTCAGAGAGCCATGAGCGGTGGTACACACCTATGATCCCAGCACTCTGGGAGGCTGAGGCAGGAAGATCACAAATTAGAGCCCAACCTGGGTAATTAGCAGCTTAGTGAAACCCTATCTCAAAAGAAAAGGGGCTAGAGATGTAGCTTAGTGCAAAAGGCTCTGAGTTCAATCCCTAGTACAAAAAAATAAGGAAAAGAAAGAAAGAAAGAAAGAAAGAAAGAAAGAAAGAAAGAAAGAAAGAAAGAAAGGAAGAAAGAAAGAAGAAAGAAAGGCAATGACTTTCTCAAGGTTACACAGACACCGGTGTTCCAGAGGGGTTGGAACCTGTGCCCTTTGCACACTCTGCACCAAATCCCAGAGCAGCTTAGGTGCATTTACTTCACTTTATGTTTTTTCCCCAGAAATAATATCAGTTCACAAGTGCCCCTGTGGTTTAGAGCCACTGGGAGGGGACACTCTGGAGTAGGAGTTCGAGTTTGTGGTTTCCCCAAAGGTTGGCACAGAAGGTTCTAGAAAAGCAACGCCCCCGGTCAAGGGAGTAAAAACAGACTGAAATCAGGATCAATAGGCGTGCTTGGGGAAGGTGATCCCTGGATGGTTTCTGGAAGTGTCTGCCGCTTGCCCTGGGAAATCAGGTCTCCTGCTGGCCAGAAGACCCCCAGCTGGAGCTCCAGGACCACAAGGCCTCATCCAGTGTGCTAGGGAAAGGAATTGTAGGCCAAGCAGGAGGCTGTCTGGGATCTGGCTGCCCTGCTCCACTCACCTAGGGAGGTCAGCCAATGGGGCCAAATTCTGTCCCCTGGGGACTGTCCCAGGTTGAGAGGCCAAGGTCTGCAGAACTGTCCCTGGGTCCTGGGAAAGGGTACAGGCACTGCTGATAAAAAGCAAACCATCGTCCTTAGCAACAGTGCACCCAGTGGGTCCTGGGCCAGAGGAAGTGGGTGAGGTGGCCATGGTCTCCCCACTCCAACTCAGGCGCCCCTGGTGGTTCCTTCACGGAGGGCCGGGCCTTGGAGTGGTTACAGTGGAAGACACAGAAAATCCCTTCTGCCCTGTCCCCGCTGGCCGCCCCAGAGCTGCCTGTGTCCCAAAGTGGAACTGCAGCTCCAAGAGTGTGGGCACCCCAAAGAGCAAGGACTCCTCCTGCCCAGGGACCCCACATGCTGCCCCTGACCCAGGTGCCAGTCGCTCGCTGTGGCAGGAGCTTTTGCAGCCAGCCCTGCCCAGTCCCCCGCACCGCAGAGCTCTTTACCCAGCCTTCTTTCCACGAACCCTCCATGTCCCTGGGAGAATGGGTCACTCGGCCTTTCTAAGGACAGAGGGCACCCATGCCCCACAGGACCCTGAAATGCTCTTGCAGGCCACAGCCTGCACTAAGCCAGCTGAGGGCCCCCTGCCCTCCCGTCTCCACAGCCACCCCCACCATTCCATAACACCCCACCCGGCTGTGATAAATCAGGGCATCCTGGCATTCCTCCCCTGCCCGCCCTGCCTGCTAAATATACACCAAGGAGGAGTCCGGGAAGAAGCCAGCACAGCCACGATGAACCCAACCACCCCTGCAGCTGGGGGTGGGGAGCGCGAAGGGCGCCAAGGCCCTACTCAAGGCCCCAGGCCCCGCTGCAGGCACGAGGGGACGCAGGCCCTACCACAGGCTGGGGTCTCGGGAGCATAGGGTCTCAGGGTTTGGGGCCTGTGGGAAGGAGATAAACTGTCTACGTCCCGCTTGCCCGCCCACCCCGCAGTCCAGAGGGAAGAAACTGAGTCAAAGGAGTGCAGACGGGGCTCAAAGCTAGGGGCAGCAGTCAGGCAGTTGGGCAGAACATACTTTCTCCAGGAAGACCTGGAGGATGCCTCAGCTCCCCTTCAAAGAGAGGGTAAGGAGGCCGGGCTGGCAGCCGCCCACCCTCCCCTGTGGGACCCCTTCGGGCTCTTTGGATGGAAGCCAAAGGGGTTAGGCATAAGTGGAGGGGGCCAGGGCTCCCACAGCCGGGTGCTGGGTAACCCCCCTTCTTTCCTGCATGAACCCCTTCCCCAGACCTGCGCTTGCCCTCCCGAGGCATCCCAGAGGCTGTCGTGATGGAGCTGCACACCGGGGGGCTGGGCAGAGAGGGAGGCAGGGCTGCGAAGGACTTTCCTGCTTTGTGGCAGTGCCGGCTCTGGGAGCAGGGCCAGGACAGTAAGGGCAGCCGTGGGATGATCCCGCCAGGTCCCCTTCCCACCTCTGTCCTGACTCACTGGGGTTGGCAGCCTCCCCCCCCTCACCTTCCTGGCGCCTTTCCCCCATCCTGCGGGGCTACTGCCAAGGCTGCAACTTCCTTGGAGGGCAGGATGCCCAGCAGCTGCGGGGGACAGCAGCCACTGGGCTGTTGAGCGGCTTCTGGGTAGAAATGGCCTGGGGTGGGACAAACAGGAGCCCAGAGTCAGGGACTGGACCCGGTGGCGGGAGGGCAGGGCAGCAGGACGGAGGCCAGGAGGAGGCGCCGGCTGGACCCTGCTGATGGAGGGCGGCAGGGAGGGTGATGAAAGGGCCCCTCATACCGCGCACGCAGGAAACCACCGGAGTGGTGTGAGAAAATAGCAGGGACCTGCGGCCCCCGGGCCGGCCAAGCCCAGCGGGTGGACGTGGCTCAGGGTGGGCGAGGTGAGCGGGGCGGCTGAGCCTTCCCTCCCGGTGACTCCCGGCTGGGCGTGGGCCTGGGGCAGGAGCGGCTTCTCGGCATCACTTGGATCTTCTGAGTGTGGTTAAA